AGTTTTTTTTAAAGTTTTTTTGAAAGTCTCATTTATTTCGTAAGTGTTTTTTTAAAGTGGTTTTTTTTTTGTGTATACCACCTACCCTTGACGTTGGCGATCTCGCCGTCGGGGTGCGCCATGCGCTGCATGGCCGTGGGCGACACGCCGATGGGGACGGCCAGGCGCGCGCCCAGGGCGGTGGTCTCGGTGCTGCGGTGCGTCACGTCGCGCAGCATGCGCGGCCGGATGCGCAGCCTGCAACAGGGTCGGAGCACTTCACTGGTGAAAAGTGAAAAGGACGTATACGTAAGTCCACGGACTTTCCATTGGACTTACGCCCTTTTCAATTTTTATCACCAGTGACTTAGAGGGATTCGTCTACCAGAAATAAGTACGTCCGGGTTTACTCGGATTAATTCGGCAAATGGCGGGTGCTCGGCGCCTGCGAGACTCGGGATGGGCCAGCCCGCAGTACACGCGTGCACTGCCGTGTAAGATGTTGCCTACCTATTAGGCGCTACGAGAGCTTGCACTGGCTGAACTTGGCAGTTTCGCAACGACAAATGAAGGTCGTACGGCATATTTACCGCTCTCATTCCGCGCGAAGCTCTGACATTAGAGCCTGTTTATTCTGTTGGACTGAGCCAGCGGCAAGGGCGTTCAGGACGGGGTTTGCCCAGCGCCTCAGTTCGGGCGCCGGGGAGGGGGCCGGGCTCGCCATATGTCGCCCGGCCCCCGCCTCCCAGGTAGGCAAAACTTGGGTAGCGCCTTAGTTCGGGTCGTCTCAGCATAAAGCTCATTGACCGGGGCTGGAACACTATACGTGGGGTATCACAGAAGACTATGCCACTGTCTGGGAATTCCCTCTGGACCTGGTGGTGGCCACGCATAACCCCAGTGAGAAATGAAAGTATGCGATACGACTTCAACGCAAGAGTCCGTGTACTGTACGTGTGTTGACTGTAGCGTCTATTGCTTTCTTTCGAAAGTCCCCCATACGCCGTCCTGATATCAACTCTATCCTTGCAATTTCGTAACTCCCGTCAACAGCAGAGGGACTAGGCCGCAGCGCTAGTCTCAGCGAGCGCAAAGAATTGTGCGGGTGGGCCATACGTGGTGCAGCTGTGAGATAATCATATACCGTGGTGCCAATGTGCCGTATTTCAGGGTGGCCCTCATACCCCGGTCAATTTCGTAGCTATACTGTACCGCGTGCAGAAGTGTAGACGCGGTAATCGCAAGGGACCATAAGGCGCCGCCGTAGACGGGGTAGGCAAGCCCCCCTCCCCCTCCCCATAGTATTATCCCTTTAAACCAAAATTAATTTTGTGTTTCCTTCCTCCCTTGTTCATTGTTTGTTTTTTGTTGTTTTTTTTTGCGATTTTCTCTTTTTGACACATCTCATTTTGCATATTTTTCGTGCATAAACTCGGCAGGTGTTGACAGTTTGCTCCGAGAGAAGTTATCTCGCGGAGATAACTGCAGCCGGCCCGCCGCCCACCCACCCACGCGTCTAGACAGGAGGGTCGCTAGGGTCGCAAAGGGTTCGTCAAAATAAGAGGCGCGGGTCAACCGACCGCCCCGCCCAAGGGGGTAATCACTACGTGATAATGCGTACACCTCAACTTTCCACTTTTCCACTTTCATAAACTTTTCGCAATTTTCCCGTTTTACCCGTTTTACAACGTTTACTTCATTTCTATGCCTAAACCCCCTCTATTTTGTTCATTTTTGATCTGATCAACGCACGATTTGTCACTTTTTTCCACATTTTCTTTCAGTTTTCGTCACTTTTAGTCAACTTTTTGTCACTTTCACTTCAACTTTTATAGATATGTGTACACCTACTTTCTGTAGAGATTACCCCCCTCGGCCCCGCCCACCCAACCGACCGACACCGCAAAATCGCTCGAAATTGCGGTAAGTACACCAAACCTTTCTGAAAATAAAGTGGAAACTTTCCACTGGAAAGTCTAAAGATTACAACTCAAGAATTAATTTTTGAATTTCAAGGCCCGCGCAAGGTGCGCAGAGACCGAACTTTTGCGATCTGCGCCGCCGGTCTCTGCGTTCTCTGCGCAGACTCAGAAACCCGAGCGACACAAGCAACCCTCTCGTCTGGACACAGCAGCAGCTCGCGTGCACTGCACTGTACAGTCCAAGTAGCCCTCTCTCCTACCTCCTGAGCGCCTCCTGGTTGAGCGACAGCGTCACCTCTCCATCGGCCCCGCTGCGGTAGTACTCCAGGGCGTTGCGCGGCAGGATGCTGTGGGCTTCCCTCGCAAAGTCGTCCACACAGACGAGGTTCGACATTTTCGACGGCCTGGGGTGTCTCCTTCTCGTGCAGCGGTCGGGCGCAATCTGCCTCCTCGATCGCAGATTCCGCTCTTCTCTGCACTGGCGCTCACTGATAACGCAAGGTTGCGGCGGTACCGTATCTCCCCACGCCCACGCCCCCCACCCCCAAATCTTCGTCCCTCTCTCTCTCTCTCTTGTCGCACAGGAACAGTAGGACCGTTTTGCCGGACAGCATAATCCTCCGAGTGTTTGAAGCCATGATTTTAATTGAAGGGTAAAGAATGCCACTATGTCAATAGACAAATGCTTTGTTACTCTCCAAATACAACCAACATTTTTACACAATTCATTGACAATGATTTACATGTTTACAAATGCTTTTTATTTTCATACTTACACCTTAAAACAATGAATAAATATCTGTATAATCAAGTCAATAAATATTGGTGACAGTGCTGCATGGTACAGACAACTTTAAAACCACCCCACTTGGATATTTACTTTCAAGACTAGGTTCCTCTTCATAACCATGTTTCCCACTACAAAACATCATGGCAAAAAAAAGAAGAAAAACAATAACTGAGAACAAAGATCAAGACTCCATTTTTTTTTATATTAAAATCCTTAACATCAGATAAATTCATTGTAACCCAAAGTTATGAAAATTTGGCAAAATATAATTTTGGTACAACTTTTCTTTACAATGGTACAGCAAATTAAGAATTTAAATAACTCCATTCTAAAACAAACAAAAAAAAGAAAAGAAAAAGAAACAACTGGTTATCTGTTTCTAACTGAGCAGCCAACAATTGGTTGCTCTCAATGCGATCACATTCTACATACAAATCAGATGATAGAAATTAACACAGCACGTCTTTATTTAACATTACGCAATCACATGTTCTAATAAAATTATAAAAGAAATATGAGCCAAGCCATTGATTTCACAAACACAACAGCCCAAATGCAATGTAAAAAAGAATGAGAAAAAACATGAAGAGAAGCTCAGAATGAGAGCAACACATAACTTCCCATCTTCAGCATAAATATTTTATACCAATCAAACATGTCGTAAATGAATTAACAGAGCCATCAACAAAGCTACAGGCAACAACCAGCAAAATGAGTGTTGGGCCGGGTTTGGCATGCAAACGCTGCGCAGTTAAATTAATCTACTTAAGTGTCTCAATCAGTCCTCCTCCCCCTCCTGAACTCATAAACATATGGTTTATTCGAATTTCATACCCTAGATTGAAGTGCATAGGCGTCACAGATTTGAGTTATGGCATCATTTATCAGATAAAAAAATGTTAGATAAAAACAAAATTTGGCCAAGAGGACAAAGTGTCAATCTTAGAAAAACATATCACACATGTAGGTAGTGGACTATCTTAACAATTGAAACAAAAGGTTCAGTCAGTTGAGCCGAAAGCACCGTTTGTAACAGTGGGTCTTCTCCATCATGACTCATCATCTGAAAAACAAAAAATACACAAAAATAGTGTCAAATAATAAAAAAGTGAAATGACAGAAAAAAGAAAATGACAGAGAAAAGAAAGGATTTTCCAGAAACAAGTACTATATGCAGCTAAAGTGACCTTGTGAGTGATTTAGAAACAAAGTTAAAACTTACTACAGTGTAAAACAGAGTGCAATATGAATCTGAACCAAACGGACCAGAGTAAATTACACAGTTTTCAGAGAATAGGGCACTTAATGAAGGCTTAAAGCTTGACAGAAACATGCCGAGTGATCCCTTATTTCCTTGTTCAGTCAAAGCAAAGGACACAGCTTAGAAGCAAAATCAATGAAGTGGGAAAGCAGCTGAGTCACCAAAGAACAACCCTCTTGGACAACTTTGGAGCAAATTTTAAATCCATTAAAATTTTGGGTTTTGAAAGGCCTAGAGGGCAGAGTAGATACTATAGTGGGAAAATACTTGCCCCAGTAGTCAAGCCAGTATTATTACACTTTTAATCAAATAAAGAAACATGACGTACTTCAAGAAAAAAATTAAGAGGGAAAGACATAACTAAAAGATTGTGAAAGAACAATGTATTCTTAAGTTACATAAAAATTTAACACATGTCAGTACAAAATTTTGATCAGCCTTTGAATAAAATCAATCTTTCAAATGTTGAAAGAGGTATTATAAAAGCATGAAAAAGAAGCAATTGAGCTTTTTTTGAAATAAATACTGCTTATTGGCATTAACATACATAAATACATAAAAATTCATGTGTTTCTTAAAAAGTTCTTGAAAAGTTACTTAATGACTCCAGAACTTGAAACAAACTTCAAGATCTAGGCTGTGAAAAAAAGTACCTACACTAGCTGGGGGGGAAATTATTGCCATAACATGTCTTACTTGGAGGTCTTAAAAAGTGTCATATAAAATTTGCTTCCATGACTAAGATAAAATTCGTTAAAGCCTGCAACTAATGCACACAGAAAACATGTTCAAAATTGGTGTAACACAGAATCCAGAAATGCCATTTAAACTGGCACCTGTCTAATATTTTAAATGTCTTCTTATTTGATAAATCTTCATCAGTCTCACCTTTGATAATTTGATAGAGAAATGGCATAACATTTAATCCTAAACTATACCACTCAAACTGGCTTCTGTCCATAATTGTTTTTCATCGTTCTCACGTGTGTCTTCGTTTCTGATAAATCCTCTTCAGTCTCACCTTGGATAATTTCTGGTGGAGATGGTTGTTCACTGCTTTTGACTGATGAAGTTGAATTCCTTGTCACGACGGTCATTTGCCACTTGTCAACTTGCCACTGAATTAAAGCATCAGGATCAACTTCTTGTTTTGAAGTCTTCAAATTATTTGTAGAGCTGGGCAGAGCTTTGTTAGTTGGACTAAAAACTTCCGGAGTAGGATCATTTGTAGGAGGTAATGACTGGTCAACATCAATCACAGTAGAATTGTCTGACTCCGTTGTTATATCTGATGTTGTTTCTGGTCCAACATCAGATGATGATGATGCATCTGGTCCATTGTTATCCAAACCTACATCAGATGGTATGTCAGGTGCTATGTCAGATGCAATACTTGCAATACTTGACACAGGGGAAACATTAGGAGCTGATGTCACATCTGGAGCAGCTGGTGGAGCAGAATCAAGCTTCTGTCTCATCTTCCACTCAGCCTGATTGAAATTTGAATATTTGTATTTCCTGCGAACTATTCTCTCTCTATTGTCTCTTCGATATGCCTTGTCCAGCTGCTGTGAACTATCATCATCCTCAACCATTTCTGCCTCAACATCCTGTGCCACAAAAAAAAGCAACAGATAGATAAAATATTCCTTCTAAACAGATTACATTTCAGCTTGGGAAAACATTACATACCTCAACAGGGCAAATTGCTATAGCCCGTTCCAATGTCATGCTGGCACTGTTTGAACGTTCCAAGAAAAATCCATTTGTTGATTCATTTGAATGAGTAGGTGGTGACCAGTTTTTGTAGCTGTACTGAGAGTTTGGAGCATATGGCCGCTGTGGAGTAGAAAAGCAGAGCTTAAGTATGAGTGCCTAAGACACAAAGCATGGTACAAATCAACACTACCGGTACTTTTCTTGCAACTTACTCGGTTTAACTCCTCCTGTAGCCATTCAACCGCGAGAGCCCACTTCCGACGAAGATCAGTGCTCTTTTTCAACTCATTCATAGCTACTTCACATTTGGAGAAGAGAACTACAAGACACTTGATACACTGATATGATCTCTTTTGATACTGAGATTTATTCCGCTGTATAGTTGTGAAGAGGCCATCCTGATCCTCAGGTATACCTAAAACACAAGAAAAAGATATTTTGAAAGTTAATTAAATTGCAGGAGTTAAAAATAATATTAGCTTAAAAGACAATCGTTTTAAGGATTTAACAACCTTTCAGAGCATTATTGATGCGCTGAACTTGCCACGAGTCTTCCATAAGCATCATATTGAGCAAAAGCTGCATGTGGTGGTGCAGTTCATGGCAATATGCTGATGCAATTTGCCACAAAAGCTCACTAAGAACTGTTCTTGAAAACTGTGGGTTTTCCCAACAACAAAAATGCAGAAGTTTCACTGTGTCCTCTGAGAGGTTTGCATCCTCAATGAGTTTCTTCACATAGCTTGGAAAAAAAATTAAAAATGTGAATTTAATTTGAACAATCATTACCATATTCACCTGAATACAAGGCCCCCTTTTCTCCCCTTGTACTCAGGTGAAAACATGAGTTTTAAGATTTGAAATAACATGAGCATATTTTCACATTTTTTTAAAATACATACTGCTTGCGACTGAAAAGATATTCTGCTTCAGCAGGCCTGACAGCCATGATGAAGTCTTGACACAATGGCTCTACGTATGGATTTGGAAGCACAGCTTGCCCCTAAAAAAAGATACCAAGTTGTAGATGAAACATAAGAAAAAATTATAGAAAATCCTGGTGATGATAGCCCGAAAACTTACTTGTTGCGAGGATTGACATTTGCTGCTGACATCACAACAACGTATAAGTTGAGAGACCACTTGATGTAATTTTGTAAGTTCAGGACACTGGTACTTAATAGTTGGACCTGGTCCTTCATCTAGTGCAACACGCATGAATTTTACTGGCACATCCAACTGGAAAGATTACATAGAACAATTAAATTATTAAAATATGATTAATTAATTCCATTGCTCTCATTACTGTCATGAATGTACATACATTGAGAAGTTGAGTACGTTCCTGCACACCTAACGATGCATAGGTTTGGAAAAGAGAAAAATAGTGAGTCAGATTGCGTCCATGCTCGGATACTTCTTTGTCTAGGAGATGCAAAACAGCATGAAGTAGATGGTCGCTCAAGGTGGTGTTCGGTTTGTACAGAACAACTGCAAAGACAACAAAGTATAGGATATGAGAGGTGAAGCTACATTTGTTGTTCATGATGTGCCTTGCCCCAAGCCCTTTACTTGAGAAAACACAAAAAGTTTCAAGCAATCTTACCTGGAGCATTCAAATTAGGTGGGCGGCATGGTCCATCTTGAAGTGAAAAATGTGCCAGGAAAACTATGATTTTCATAAATGCTGATCTGACTTCTGCACTTGGGCATGCTAGAAGATACTCACAAAACCTACAATAATTCCAAAAGTTAGCTAGATTCGGGTAAAACTTCAGTTCACAGTTATATTGCATAAAAGGTAAAAGATGTCTTTACCGATGAGGGTGCTGAAATAGTATATTAGTGGCAAACCAGGACCGTACACTTTTGAAAGCCCTCAAATGATGACATAGAACATCAAACCAATCCATTGCTCCTCCACGGAGTGTTTTTTTAGTATGAAATCCAGTGTGGAATAAGAACCGAGCAGCTAATTGGACACTTAGCATGGAGAGTGTTTCTGTTTCTACGCTCTGAGCAGATACAAAACATGGTACGTTAAATTACAAATTAGAACAAAACACAAGTGACAAACTTTACCAATAAACGAAAAGGAAAGCAAATACATACATGTTTGTCCGGGTGCTGTTGCCTGCTTGGTATATTTGATGAGACTAGCTTACGAACAAAATGGAAATATTCAGGAGAAAATTGGTTTCGATTGTGCATGAATTTTATATTTTGTTTACGCACACTCCTTTCAATTGCTGGAGGCATCTTCAAAATGCTAAGCTTGGTATCAGCTGAAAATATGATTGATTGTTTAAATGTATAATCCAGAAATATTAATTTACAGTTTCCAAGGTTGATACTTACATAGGGATAATTCATTCAAACTTTTCAACAATAAAGAATGTTCTTCAACATCTAACCTTGTGTAATAAAGCATATAGGCATTCCACCATCTCTTCTGCCTCCTTAAGCTCATCCGTTTCAGCATGTGATCAAAAACCTGCCCAAAAATGAAAAATTATCAGTCTATGAACCAAACAATTGATGTCTATCTGAAAGTGTCATAACTTTTGTTTTTGCCATACCTCTCCCATATAATCACCACCAAAGCACTGAGTTTTCATTTCTTCTTCATCATCCATCTTGCATTCTGTAACTTCACCATCATCAAATTTATACCATTTGGCAGTCCCATTGGTCTCTCTGAAAAAGAGGAAGGTGGATTCAAAAACGGTTTTTGGATGAGAAAGTAGGAGACTATGGCCTTGTATCAAAAGAGGCACAACCAACCTATTCAAAATATAAGAGTAGTAGTGTCCACCACTAGCTTGACCACTGTGAACTACAATACCAGTCAACTGATACTTTGTGCAGACATCCTTTGAAATTTCATCATAATCACAGTCAATCATTTCTCCTTCTTGTTTGGCTAATCCCATTACTGTGGCAGAAGACAAATGTTATAATAGCAGGTATAGCAAAATCATTTAAGGTAAAATACACTCAATGAAACTGGGTTCTAGCAAATCTCCTCAAAAGATTACATACATAGTTCATAGTCAAATGGAAAAACTAGCAAGATGAAACTTTTATAATGAAATTTGCAATGTTTTGAGAGAGAAAGCGCAACCAACCATAGTTAAATGTGAAACTGACCGGTATAGGGCTCCATGTCAAGATCCCGAGGAAATTCAAAATAATCATTGAATTTAATAGGACAAACTCTTTCATAATCATATTCAAACCTCTTCAGTTGAATGGCGAGAATAGGAGGCAGTTTTTTCACACATAGTCTTTTGACTGTGACAACCTACACAAAGATTTTAAAAATATTAAGAAAAGAAAGAAAGATGAGTAGATAGCAATCAAACATTTGGGGGAAATTAACTACCTTTTTGTCACATTTATCACAGTGATACGCATCTCCACCTTCAAGAAGCTCACCCTTCACATACTGTTCTAAGGAATCCAGGAGTGTCGGGTGGTTTCTGATTTCTACACTCAAAACACTAAATGATTCTTCCCTTGAGTATCTGTGGGAACAGCAGGAATACAATACACAATCAATCTCATATTGAATTTTTCTTAATACAAGTCTTTTACTAATTTAGTGTTTTTACCTGTGTGGACATCCTTTACAAATCTTTTGATCAGAATATGATCCACCTAAAGTTTTGATCATAATCTGCTCAAGGTTTAGAGCTTTGAGAGCTTCATCTACACATTCGACAAGGCTGTTGAAAAACTCAACAGCATCTTGCTGCTCCCTCAAGTTAACAGGCTCACCTTGTAACCTATGTAACAGAGATGATTGTTTTAGATTGCTTGATACAGTCAATTGTGTTACTTGATTTTTTTTTAAACTTAAAAGCTTTTACTTACTTGAAGTGTTTCCAAAGTCCTTTTGGTACATAATACTGGAGCTTACTGTAAGCCAAATGCCCAAATATGGCTTGAACCTGCTTGAGGATGCCAATATTGTATTCCTTGCGAGCTTCATCTGCTGATTTGCTGTCATCACTTGATTCACTGTCAGTTTGATCCAGATTATTCTGAAAAAAACAATTAATATTAAAAATGTTGACAATTTTTTTATTTACATAACAAAAAGGTATATGCTTACATCCACCTCAATACGGTCTTCTCCACTGAAATCCTCATTCAGGTCTGTTGCAGCACCATCAGCTGACAGTATTCCCACTCGAATACTTTCAAGCATATATAATTGCTGGAGAATAGAATTCATGTAACAAGTTGCACCAGCATTTTTTAGCCCAACAAAGCCTTTGGAAGGTCTGGGGCCTACAGGGGGTAGATAGTCCCATTCAACTAATGGTTCATCTCGATCTGAAAAAAACTGATATTAGGAAGAAACCCTTTACAAAGAAAATTATTCAAAAATTTGATGTAAATTTATACCCTACCGGAATAGAACATTTCTGATAGCATTTCAACAAGTAAACGCATATTTGACACACTTCCTACACACAAAGCAACCAGGAAGTCAAATGCCATGGTAAGAGTTCCTGGAGATGTGCAAACAGGAATTGCCTGATCTTGAGACAACTGCCCAGTTTTCTGTAGATGTAACATCAGGCGAGAGGATGGAAACACAAAATCTTCTACTACCTCCTGCAAACACACACATATTTATAAGTACAGAATGAGTGAAGTTTCAAAAAACCCTCTAGAACATGAGAGTTCATACCTTAATTAACAAAAGGCCTTTTGACTCATCTGAGCCTAACTCATATTTCTTTTCTGGTGACATAAACGATAACAATTCTTTTGCTATTCCTAGATGACCTTCCAAAACTGCTTCATCAACATGGGTTTCCCCTAATGTTTTCACATTATCCTGAAAGAGAGTTTACACAGCAAGCCTCTTAGGTAGAGATTCATAATTCATAAATTATTCATAAGCAACATCAATCAATCAATCGACCTGTTTTCTGTGATACACTTAACTTCCAATCGAAAACTTACCCTGACTTTTTTTAGCCAAATAATTTCATCATTAAGAAGTGCTTCAGCCTCAGGTAATGGGCACTTTGACACATAAGCGCAGTTTATTAACCGGCACAAGAGCTGCAAGCATTACATTTGCATTGCTTAGGGTTGTAGATGCAAAATTAGATACATTATGTTTTAAAATAATATTAAATGTTACCTGAAAATACTCATGTGATCTGTTTGCATTATCCACTACTGTAGTATTTAATACGCTAAACAATAGAGATATAAAATCTTGCAAAGGTTGAGGATTTGCATTACACCAGGTGAGGATTGTCAAGATTTGATCAACCGCACAAAGTCTAATTGACCTGAAAAAACAAAAATTGAAAAATCATAGATACTTTACAATGAAAAATAAGTATAGTATAAATTCATGGAAATGTAACAATTGAACTTACCTATCTCTACATAGCAAAACTAAATCAATAATGAAATTATGCCACATTTGGTCTTTAGACAGCCTATACAGAGTTTTCACATTTAACACTAATGACATTGATAAAACTTCAAGGGCTTCCTTTGAAACTAGAAAGGAAAAATGTACAGTTCACAATCAAATGTTTCAAAGAGCAAATAATCAAAAGTATGTATGTTTCGATAAATCAGCAAAGTTACCTAAGACATCATCCTGTTCAAGATTTTTGCCCTCACAAGTAGCCTCGTGTAATACATGCAGCTGATCAGGAGAATTGCTGTACATTTCAATGGTGCCATTACTGGCAGCCCAAGCTAAATTGATCACAGCCTGGATTGTACACACGTCAGGTAGTTTACCAGTCAGAGCTTGCACAAACATAGGCCTTGCCTTGTTGTGTTCATCACTTCCTGACCCCATCTAAAATTAGGTTTTGATACATCACACACATTACAGAGGTATAAAATTTTAAAAAGTTAATAGATTTTTAAAAAATACAACAAAATGAAAGCATACCTGGTTAGCTATAGATGACCCTAGCCTCACACCAACAGTCCATAACATGGTGTCTGTTGTGTTTGGTATATTATGCATAATTTGCTTAAGAAGAGTGAAATATTGACGGTCTTTATCAGCTTCATTGTCACAGTCTTTATTTTTATCTGCTCCTTCCTCTAAGTCTTTTTCCTGATGGGTAGTTATGTACAGCTGAGAATTTGATACCAAGTTATTCATGTTGGGCTGGTCCAAAAGTGCTTGGAGTTTGTCAGATGGGAAGTCCAAAATGTGTGCAACAACAATTACAACAACTGTTAGAAGCAATTTGCAGATTTTTAGTAGGGTCAAGTAGGCAGACCTGAAGCAAACCAATAAAATTCAAATTAAAACTAATACAAAATAGAACCTTCTTACTTCAGTCACATAACTTTTATGAAATGAACCAAACCTTTTAGTTGCAATATCAGCAGTTGGCAGAAAATTCGGTTTTGTAAGCATTTCCAGTATAACACAGGCAATTCCACTTTTCACAAAGTTGTAAAGAAATTCAAGAGCTTTATCACTTGCAGTGTCTAAAGCAGGCATAAGTAAAGCATACATGACCTGATAGGAAACAAAAATCATTAGCGTAAATGAATGACAAGCTAGAAACATTCTTCTCTCTCCTTTCCAAATACTTACTTCTAGGTTGTACAACACTTGAGATGGGGATGGATGGAAAAACATGTTTTCTATAGTTGGATGGGGAAGAAAAGATGATGGTGATGTTGTAGCTTGGCCAAAGACATCACCACTTTTAGAAACACAGACATCATCAATACCATTCACAGTATAATTTCTAAATAGCAAAGTCAGACGTTGCACAGTAAGAATATCTGGAGGGACTAGACTGAGCAGCATTCGAGCACCATCTCTGAGAGCTGCATTTTTTATTGCACAACCAAGATCTGCGACTTGGAAGAAAAACTGAACATAGTTTGGTTGTTGAGACATAAGCTGAGAACAGAAAGACAAATAATGGTTAAAACCTAATTCTAACATGAATAGCATCTTTACATCATTTAAAGTTCTTCAAAATTTAAACTCACAACGCCAGGTAAACAGTTTTCAGCCTCTGCATTAGGACCATCATATGGATGCTGTGGAGAGCCTGTAGAACTATCTGAACTAGAATCCGGAGAGCTTGGCATATTTGAATTAGCTTGACATAATTTTGCAGTCAGCACACCCTTGTTTCTAAGTGGTATCTGAGATAATAGTTTGTGATCTTCTGCTGGGTCTAGAGGTTCACCATTCACAAAAAGGTCCAATTTCACATTAACTCCACTGGCCTTGATACGACGGAGAACTTGACGTCGCAATGACACTAAAGTATCATTGCTATGAGTGAAGACCTCCACATCTTCAGACTGTCTGCCCGGGGTAGAAAATCTGACTATGAGGGTGAGATGCTTCCCTCTGCAAGATCTTTGGAGGGGTAAAATTTTTCTCTCTCCATTAAAGTCATTATCACATTCACTTATATACTCTTGCAATACTTTCATTACACGACATAGCTTCACAGCTTCACCCTGTAATCTTTTTCTGGCCAATATTGGATCCTCATCTGAGTCACCACTGCTGCTACTAAGAATTGTAATGGTGTCGTAATGAGCTCGGAGGCGACACAGACACTCAGATACATAGCTTTCATGAAACTTCACTAGTTGAGACTGAAGCTGTGGTCCCAAGTTTGTATTGACATCTTTCAGTAACTCAATTCCACGACTGGCTATTTCATCAGCGCTATTTGTCACCACCTATACCATTAATAGTATTTGAATATTATCAAGATTCATTAAAAGGACATCCATATTTACATTTAACAAAATGTGATGATACTCACCCTCCACAAATATTCAGTGCCAATAAGGTCTACGTCATCCATCATAAATGATCTTCTTTTGGCCTTTAACTTTCCTTCTTTAGTATTAACTGCCTTAAAAAATCTTTCAAAACACCTGGCAGGAGATAGATTCACTATTATCCTAACTTCTCAAATGCCGAAAAAATGTAAAAGTTTAAAAATGCAGTATGATCCTACCTCATGCCACTTTCTGTTAACAATGTAGGATCAAGTTGAAGTATGTTGTTCTCAAAAAAGTCTTTGTTGATAGCTGGATCAAGATCAGGCTCTTCACCCATCAGCTTTGAAAACCATTTGAAACATGCTTCTCTGTCTGATGGGAACACAGCTTCCTCTGCCAGTGCCTGCCAAATTTGTTTCGCTTGATCCGCACACAGCCACAGCTGTCCGTCCTGCTTAACATACAATAATGTACTGTAAAACCGGGCGTGCTTCCATGGCAGTTCACTCTGCCTTAATAACTGGGGTATCAAATAGTAACTGCAGTCACTAGGGGGGCATTTTATAGGGGAAAGAAATGTTTAGGGTATATCTAGGCGCTATGTTTAAGCAAGTCATGATTACACTGCCATCAAGCATGCTAAAAGGGGACTCAACTTCTAAGGAATTTTCAAATTGAGGCAGCAAAAAACTGTTAATTCAACCTCCTCTCTCATGATGTTAATACAGAGTCCATGCGAATTTTGACACACATAGGTTAGGTTAGAGAAGAAAGTACATACTTCGTCAAAGGAAATATTTGGTCAAAGTACTCACTTTTAGGAGAAAACGGAGAAAGTTTAGCCTATCTTGAACTTGAGCTACATGATTGAACCTTTTGTCAGGAAAATAATCATTTGGGTCCAAATTTGGATTTGCTGCAAACAAATTTGACATATATTTTGAGTGTACATTGTACCAAAATACTTCATGATTATTTCATATAAATATTCTATACCTTTGGCTTCCTGTCGCACTTTGTCCATATATGTCGTTAAGCTATTGGTTACTAATATCACTAACATGTGGTTTTGTTGAAGGCGCTCAATAATTTCTTGCCTGAAAAAAAAAAAAAAAAAAAAAAAAGAAGCAAAAATAACACAGGGATTACAAAACTAGCTGAAACATCAAGTTAAATCTCAAGGCTTGACAGCACTTACCTGTAAGATGTGTGGTGACTTCTCTGACCATGATTCATCGTTGGTGCTGGCTCATACAAACAGCAAATCTCTTTTATTTGTTTCAGAGCAGGCAAAACCCATTTATCACCAGATTTCAGTTCTTCTACACATTTGTCTAGCCAAACTGTTTTTTGGGCATCCCTCTCCTATAGTTAATGCAAAATTAAAAATTATACAGTGCTTTCTTTTTCACATTTTCAGTAGTTGACATGGAAATGGAGGTTGTTTACCTGTGAGCAACTATAATCAAGAATTTTGACATGAGCCGTCAAAGCTTGATCCATGATCTCATTAGGAACATCATCATCATGAGCAAGGTTCCAGAAAAGAGTAAGAACTTTATGTGCCATCACTCCATCTTTATCATCTTCTGCTAACCTCCTAATTAACTCTAACAGTTTTTCTCTCTGTTTCTTGTCTGCAGTTTTCCAACTAGCCTGTTCACATAAAATTAACGAAATAAAAGAGATGGATTTTAAAGCTTAATTCCACTATCTTTCAAGGCTCAAAGCAGGTTTCTAACCCACCTGAAAACACTCAAAGAGATGGTCAAGTTGTTCAGGAAGAAAGTCCCAAGCAAGTTTGGCCAAAAGGTCATGCACATTTTTCACAATTGCTTCATGTTTGCCATTTTGAGCAGCCCAAATATTGTCTAGATCTGTGAGTGTAAGAGCTCGCTCTTTAATGACAAATCTGAGAATTTTCTCTAACTTCTCAACATATTGAATTTGATGCATTGAGTCTCTGAGCACTATTTCCAACACATGGTTGTCTTTGATCCATCTCTGAAATATTAAAAAAATATAATGAATGAAAATATTCCGGTACAGACACACAAAACTCATTTTGGGGAATGCAATAACTTACAGCCATACGCTCTGCAGTAAGCCATTCTTCCTCCTCAAGGCCTGAGTGCCTATTAGGATAATACGTCACACTAGCAATTACTTTGTTAACTTCATTTAAAGCACTCATTTTGCCATTGAATGTTGAAATTTGAAGTAACCTGCAGACAAAAAACAATCACTATGTAAAAATATTTTTAAAAAAAAGGAATAATAAAATAATAAAACAGGATGATACCTAAGGATTATCTTCAACCGAAATATTTCTAAGTTCTTGATCATTTCTTCCTGATTAGGTATGCGTGAAACCAAGCATTTACATGCTTTAATTATTGCTGATATAGCGTCGTTTTTGGTATCATGCTTTGCTTCCTTTTTAAGCTCGTCATCAGTGAGATTATCAAGTATTTGAGGCACCACTTCCTAAAATACGAATGAGAAAAGATGGTTCATTTTTTTAAAGGACACGGAAAAAGGGACGGATTGGGAGGGGGGGGGGATTGGGCAGTTGACAAAATTTTATAGTCATTTAACTGATATAATCTCATTTTCATTTGTTTCTTACCACAATGGGCATAAGATATTTCATGATAGTGTGAACTGTAAGATGTTGGTGACACAGTCCAAATGGTCTTATCAAAGCATATATTGTGGTTACAGATAATTTTTGGCCATTTCGAAACCTGTCTGATAAAATCTGAAAGCCACCTAGATGCCCAAACCTAAATGTGACAAAAGAATAATGAAAGATTAAAAACTATTAAATAAAGAAAACAAAACCAAACCCTCTGCCGTTTTCCTTACTTGTTTATTAGGTCCACAAGCCATCCTCTGGGCTGCCTTGTATCTGGGGGACACCTTGCAAATATTTGCTCATCTGGTATATTTGATCCCGGGGGTACAGACTCAGATGGATGTGCACTATTGAACACATGAAACCTAAACAAAGCACAATTGAATTGCAAACCACAGTCATAATCAAGACACCAAACTAAAATACAAATTGGGTTAAATCTTACTTGCTGTTTGGGTTGAATACCATGGCTAATAGCTCTAGCAAGGGAAACCAATCATCAGCTAGCTTGACAACACACAGTTCCACCAAACGTTCACAATTTTGTAAAATACAGTGTTGTATATTAAATTTCCAGCTATTCACTGCATCATCTGTTAAGATCTTTGTAAAAGATATGGTAAGGCCTTCCCTAAAGAATCGCTGACATGCTTCACTACGGGTGTCAAGTCCTAGGTTGGGGATGAAGAAATGTATTATACTACAGACAAATGTTGTAGAGGAAAATTTTCTGAGCTGTAGCCATACCTTTCTTTGATAGATCAATGGCAGCTTGCATTAAGGTTTCTAATTCCTGCTCTGGTAAAACTGGTACAACCCACCGAGGACTGGTGATTTTATCATCCAGAGTAGCAAGTAGGTCATGTGGAAAGTCTGGCTCACCATTACTGTCTTCTCCCTCCACATCAATACCACAGTCTTCCATGTTCATGTCTTGGACTAAATGACTCTGAAAACAGAAGTGCACTTGTCAATAGATCAGTTTGATGATCTGTTGTTCCATAGGATTCGAACAATTAATAAAATTTTACCTGACTACTGGATTGGCCGCTTTCATTGGGCTCCGGCGGAAGGCCCTGTCCTCTAGTAGCGATCGTCATGATTCAAACTATTTAGTTGAGGCTTTCAATTGTAACATGTTTCATAAGTATGGGCAGAAAAATACACTTCTCTCCCACAGGAAGTTTGGTCGAGAATTCTTGCACTAGTTAAGATATTTGGGTTCAATTTGAAAACTATACTACATTATCTGAAATAAAAAGGAAAATAAAATAATTATGTTGAAGGGGAATTAGGTTCTTACACAAGTAAAATTTTCGATTAAAAGAAAATATGTGCCTAGAAAAGTAAGACAAGAGTAGAAACAATTGTGTTGGGCAAGTAATCTTTATCCAAACACAATCTCAGGCATAATTCATGAACCCAATAGGAAAGCTAATTGTATTTCACTGACAATTCATGTGATTATATCGTAACATTAGGAAGAATGTCGTCAAGTATTTCAATATTGTTAAGTCAAGTATTTCTCATACAACAACAATAAGAAACCAAGAACAAAGTGAAAAATTTATATCAACCATAGAACTTATACAGTGACAGAAATCTCTCAAAAGATGTGAAGTAGGAATGAAACCAACCTAACCTCTGATACACTAGTTCATGGAAATAACTCTCTAGTCAGTACAGTGAACTAGTAACACAACAAATTATGAGGAGATCTGGTAAGTGATGCTTAATGAAGATTTTCTTGCAAGAAACAAACAAATTTAACAGAGAAGATATGAAACTTTTGAACAAAACTGAACTATTTTTATTCTTAGGACAGCTTTCTGGGAAACTACGGGTAAATAGAGTGCAATTAATAGAGGCACACAAATAACAATAATATGAATAAAAATGCAACTTGGATGGTATTAGTAAAAACACCTTTTAAATATAAATACAACAAAACTTGTGTCACCTATGAACTATGGGGTGCCATAGCAGACCAAAATGAATGGGGAAACTGCATTGCCACAGAGAATAACATCACCTCTGCTGAATAATTCTAAGTAAACTGACTAAAGTAACCAGGTACCTCAAGAGAAATTGACGATTCGGGTAAATTTGGCAAGTATTTCTGACTGGTTGGCCTAATCCCTAGCCTAGAAATGTAAAACCGACAAGACCGACTGAGGATCAAAGAAGTACCCAAGTTTGTCTTGGCTCTTTAGGAAGCTGAAACGGCTACTGCGCCTTGTTTGCAGGGGATTATGTCAGTGGATATTACGGTTTCAAATGTGTAATTTAACTCGCAATATCATCGCCGGGATAACCTAAACAAAATGGCGACAGATCACAAGTCGTAGTTTCTCCAAAAACTTACAGGAGAATGTTAAATTAAACATCATTACGAAATCATACGTCGACGTAGTGGGCCACAGTTCAAAGATATCAAAGAAGGTACCACTAATGCACGTCTTTAACACATTCTTACCCTTATGAATCATTTAAAAAGGTTCGAATTATTTGACATAAATGAAGTGGTACAATAAACACGATAACGAACCACCGGTGACATCCGCGCAAGGATATTACGAATCGACCTTGTACAACATTCCCCTGCTATACGTCAAGAAACAAAGGTTCTTGCGTCCAAAAGCTCAAGACAACATTTTCTAGTTTACCTTCCTCTTTTAACAATGCACTGTAGCTGTTCTTATACAGAAGCTATGTAATGTTTACAAAAGTAAGAACTATTTTCTAACAAAATCAGCTGGTTGGATACCTATCCAATTCATTGTTTATCTGTAACTGCGCGATAAACAACGAACTGCACCACTTTAAATAAATGATCTGGGCAAATTGAAGTTGCAGATAGCACTACATTGAGTGGAAGTTCAAAATATTGCGTGAAATTGCCTTTATTTTTCTGATATGAGCGAGTCACTTGGTATGAAGAAGAAAAGAAGAAGATGGCGGCGCGGTGGCGTGGCGTAGCGCCGACCCAAAACAAAGCAGAAGCACTCTCC